GCATCCCGCACACAAACCCGGCCCTGCCGGGCATCCCGCACACCATCCCGGCCCTGCAGAGCATCCCGCACACAAACCCAGCCCTGCCGGGCATCCCGCACACCATCCCGGCCCTGCAGAGCATCCCGCACACCATCCCGGCCCTGCCGAGCATCCCGCACACCATCCCGGCCCTGTCGCACCCCCCAGCACAGCAGGAGGACCAAGGGGAGGCCCGGGCGCGCTGCCCAGCTCGGAGCTGCTGGATGCAGCCACACGGCTCAGTGGGACATGAGGCGGCCACACACTGATGTCCTGGCTTTGGCCAGGGCAGGGCCCCGTTCTGGAAGGCACCAGAGATATCAGCAGAGATGTGATGAGAGAGCACAAGGTGTGTAAAAGGCATTTTCAACTTAATAAATCCCTCTAGCTCTGAATGTGCAGGCTGGCAGGGCATTTGCATAGCCAGAAGCCAGGCTGGGGTGTGACTTGGAAGGTTTTCAGATCTAGAAATGATCTCCTGAAGCTCCAGAGTGTGCTGCTCCTGGAAGGAATCAGTTCTGGGCTCTCTATGGAGCCCCAGGCAGAGCCCAGGGAGGAGCTGGTGAATGAAGAGCCCCACATCTCCCCGGAGAGCCCAGGAGAGGCTGCTGGCACTTCCCAGCCATGAGCACCCCCAGTGGGCAGGGAAATCTGCATCTCTTGGGCCATTTCGGGAGCCTCCGAGGCACAGGAAGGATCCTAATTGGCCTGTGTTAATTTAGGCTGGACATCTGTTTGCTGATCAAAGCTTGCTCTCCCAGCTCTCTTCTTCTTGCCAGGCTTGAGAAAAATGCACAAGCGAGGGGCAAGGCTGGGCCTGTCCTCAGCAAAAACTGCCTGGAAACCCATCCCAGATCTAAGGTTGTAGAAATACAAGGAAAAGGCTTTCAGCCAGAAAAGAAGAGCTGCTTGATTTTTTTTTTTTTCATATTTCAATTAGACTGTGGTGAATCTCCTGAGATAAGCCAGGGAGAACATTCTAGATGTTCTAGATTCTATCTTTAAAGTGTTTTCCTAACAATACTTTTACATTTGAAGGTTTATTTTGTAAAAAGTTAGGCTGGTGTGAAATTTTGATGGAAACTAAATTTTCACACCACGAAGGAAACAAGCAGTATTAGTTTCAGCTAATTAAAAGCGTGACATTAAAAGACAACTTGAATATCAGCAGCAGAGATAGCTTTTTTTCTCATCTAGAAGATCCAATGGATATTTTGAAAAATTAAATATATACAAGGAATAAAATTTTCTTTTCCAGTCAGTAATTTCCCATATGTGCTAACAACTTCATGTTTGAAACAGGTAAATACTGGAATTTAAAAAATAGAGGGCACTTGCTAACTGGGCATACTGTTTGCATTCCGTGTTGATTTATCTTTCTCAGATTTTTTTTTCCCTTTGTTGTTGGTGATTCAAGTTATGCAAAAACTGGCAAAAATTGCTGTAGTGGATAATGAAAAATAGCACTTTCTCAGTATATATCAAGGACAAAAGCAATTTGCTGCTTTTTTGGTTTCCAGGCACCTGAGCTGCCATGGCCACAAGCCACCCCTGGAGCTGCTGTCCTTTTGCTGGCCCTCTGTAAGGCCAGGGGGGTCTCTGGTGCAATAATGCATCTGCCTGTGACCCAAAGAGGGATCCATTTGTCCCTGCATGGTCTCTAATGGCCTTTTCTCCTTGCATGAAGGATTTGTCCAGCCAATTCCATAGCTGCTGACTGGTGCAAGTAGATTGAAATAGACTCAAGCCATTTCCTTCTTTATTTTTATAATCATTTTCTAAAATCAGTGAATTGGATCCTTACATCCTTACAGGGCTTAAGGGGGCAGCAAATATGTCATCATGCCATGTTATACATGTGGGAGAGAATAAATCAATCAAATTTTGACCTGTGGATCCATCAGGACTCCCTTTGTGATTCCTGGGCTGCAGCAGCAGTGCCAGAGATTTGCTCCTGGATGTTCTGATTATATGAGTGAAATATTTCAGTGCTTCCCAGGGTTTAATGGAAGTGATTTCTGGAGCTGATACACAGATGAGTTTTAATTCTGTGTGTGCTGCTGTGGATGTACAGCACCTCTTACCTATTGCTTCTGGGTGGGTTTGGCTTTCTAGTGGGATTGATATGGGCTTTACTCTAAGGCATCCAAAATGAGGATGAGTCACTCTCCTGGGCACTCTCAAACAGTGTTTTACCCTCAGTAGATGCTGCTGCTTAGCATTCTGGTAATAATTTATTTTTTTGTGTTTGTCCTGTGGCTAAATTAGAAAACCTAGGGTTGGAAACAATTCAAACAGCACTGAAAATTTGACTTTTTTTTTTTTTTTTTTTTTTTTTTAATATGTTCTGGAAGACTGTTAAACAGCTCTGGCTAAAGACAGCTCCAAATTCCCTTTGGGCACCCTCACATGGAGAATCCCGCAGGTGTCTCCTTGAAAATAAGGCTGCACACAATTTTACTCTGTGTGTTTGTTAAACGACTCCCTATTGTACATTTAAAGATTCAATTTGTCAAAATTCATTCTGGGTGGAAACAGGAGTGCTGGCCCTGGAGTAAGAGGGAACAGCCAGAGCCTGTCAAGAGCCACCGCAGCAATTTCGAGGGGGGTTTGCCATCTAGTGGCTACAATATTCTCACCGCCTTGGTTTAGCTTTTTTTTAGTGCTTTTTCCTGCTTTCTCTCTCTTTGTTTTTGGACCTTGTTTTTGCTGAAACACTGAGCTGTGCTGGGCAGTCCTCTGTGCCACGGGGACCATCAGGAATTGCTCTGTTTGCCGGCTTCACAGCCATCAAAAGCTGCATTTCGTGGCACCAGAGATGTAATTAGCAGAGCCCTGTCAGTGGCAGTGCTTTGGTGACAGCTATTCTCACCACGTACACTGCTGCCCCACACTCTTTTGTCTGTTTAAATTTTTTCAGCCTCAAGCTTGATCGTTTGGGCATTTTTTCCCAGTCCTTTGCCTTTAGACACTGAGCTGAGTAATTCAGAGAGTCCCTTTATATCTTGCACACAGGAAGGTAAAACAGGTTCTTCTAACCGGAAAACCACAGATCGTTTTTAATTTTCTTTCTTTTCTACCTTTGCTTGGTGAATAAAAGTGTGAAATAACCCCACCTTCCTTTCTGCTGGGTTTCTATTTTGACATTGGTACTCTCTACAATGTTCAGTTATTCTTGTGATTTTTAAAAATACCTTTTGTGAAACTGAGAGAAGTCTGTGCCAGATGAACCCTACAGACAGGTCCCAGCAGTCCTGGCCGCCCTCAGCCTTGGGTAACGTGGATCCCAAAGGCAGAGTTGTGAGACCCCTGCAGTGACAGTCCCCTCTGAGGCCACCCTCAACATCTGCCTTTCCTCCGGGGACACCCAGCGTGGTTTTACCAACAATTGCTGCTGTGAAGCCCAATGGTGGTAGCAAAGTGTGGGGAGACGTGTCCAAAATCATCTGGTCTCAAATAATTCACACCTGGGCTTGTGTCTGCGTGGCAAAAGAGAAATGAAGGGGGAGGAGTTGTGCTCTTTTAACAGGGAGGTGACAGTCACCACCCAGGCACACAGCACTGTCTGACCTTCTTTAGTGGGCATGTGGCTAAAACACTGAAGAATGAATTTTGTCAGGATGTTTTCTTGTTGTCAGAGGAGCCACAAACAGAAAGGCAGCAGCTCTCGGTGCAGCCCTCAGTGGAAGGGTTTGTGTCCAGGTGATGTGCAATTGTCAGATTTGCTGCTGCACAGGCTGCACTGTGCACCAGCCCGGGCTCAGTGACAGCTTTGGGATTGTGTGGTTTCATGGAAGCAGCAGCCTGTGTGCAGTGTTCCTGGCGTGCCGTGGGGGGTTCACATCCACGTTCTGCTGCTTGGGTATTTCCACGTGTGAATCAGGAGTGGCAGCAGCCCGAGCTGAGGGGAAGGGGCTGTGTCATCACTCCAGGGCTGCTCACTGGGAGCACAGATACATCACCCCAGACTTTCCTGGAGCAGGGGAACAAACTGGAAGACATCTCCATGTTACCTCTCCTCCCTGTCAATCTGTGCCCACAAACAACAAATTAGATCCCTTGTGGCTCCAGAAGGAGTTGTGCCATCCAAATCAAAGGTTAAAACAGTCAAAATAAATTTTGTACTTTTAACAAAAACCTAAATTTCCTCACATTTCTCAGAAAAAGAGCAGCACTGCTCAGAAATGCCTGTCCTCATCACCAGAGAGCTTATCTAGATTGAATTTAATGGGGACTGAGCAGAGGCTTAGGTCCATTTTCAGAGTCCTGAAAGTTCAAAGTACTAGTGTATAAATTCTGTGTGGGTTCAGAACATTTGGGTCGAGAATAAGCAACCATGGAAGGATGTGACCTTCCAAACTGTCTTTTAGCTTCAGTTCAAAAATGCCTGCTTTATGTGGAATAATACAGAGGATTCTGTATATTAAGTGACAGATGCACTATTTTTATCCACAGGAAGCAGCAATTGGCATTTCATTTCAGATGCCCTCACCTCACACTCACTGAAATGTTCTATTTCAGGCATTGCACAGAAGAGCAGAGCACACATGGGCTTGAAGGAACTACCCTTTCCCGAGGTCCTAAGGAGATGGTAATGGGGAAAAGGGATGAAAAATGTAGGAAATCATATACATGAGAAGAGACAAGCAGAGCAAATGACAAAAATAGCTGTTGTCAGCCTAGGCAGAATTTAACCAGCTAGTGTGTGTTTACATCAGTTATTTTACAGAAGACCAGAGCTCCCAGAGATCCTGGTTTGGCTGAAGCTGAGCATGCAGCTGAGAACTGGGCTCTGCAGCATATTCTGCTCTCGTGTTGCTGTGCTGAAGAGTTGCCCAAAGCCACTGCATGGAAATTCTCAGGCACCTTGCACAGAAAGGTTTTTCCTCTTAAAGGCACAAGCTCTGCTGAGAATCATCTCCAGTGTGAGAGGCATCATTGCTGTGCACACTCCCAGCAAACAGCTGCAACTGTGATCTCAGTCTGAACTTGGCTGAAAATCTCAGTTTCTGTACATCCTCTCCCATGTGTGCACCACAGAGAGTACAAATACTGCAGTTTAAACTTCAAAACGTGTAGCTCTTTCTCCCCTGCTGGACATGAGTATAAGCTGTCATTTGCCAAGAAAACATGGCTGTAGGTTTGTCATCACCTTTTAATAATTTCTTTTCTGAGTAGAGACTACGAAATGGTGATGCAGATTTAATTTTTTTAGTTTAAAAAGTGGGATGACAGGCATACATTGCTTTACCTATTGACTCAGTGGATGCTAAAATGTTTCAGGGTTATATAAGAATAAGAAGAAAACGTTTGAGGCTATTCAATAGAAAGCTGCTGCTCGTGTGGCATCCTGTGAACTTATTGATTGTAATGGCTAGAAAATAATCTAGAAGAAATATCTTCATATGCTTGCCCTGCTGTTCTACCCTGCCCTTGGGATCTAGTGCTGGGGACAGAATATGAAGCTGAAGGGGTTAGTCTGAGCCTGTGTGATCCTTCTTGCAGTGTTAGATTGAAGTGTGAGCATCCTTCTGTGCATTGCCATGGGCTTGCCAAGGCCTGTAGCAGCTGCTGAGTGAGAGCTGTGCCATGGGTTGGGCAGAGGAAGCTCCCCTCCCTATGGAAGGATTTGTTCCAGCTGCAGTGCTTTTGGCAAGGACAAGCAGCTGGACCATGGAGTGATGGTGTCCTCTGCCTCTTAGCACTTGGAGGGAACTTTTATTTCTTGAGCTGGAAGCTGGCATGTTGGCTTGCTCTATCAGTGCTATCCAGCAGCAGCTTCTTTTAGAAAGCCCATCTTGGCTTTTTTTACAAACAAGGAAAGGTGCAGTGTGTGTCCCTTGCTGGTTTTGGTGCTGTCAGACCCACTGTGGGCTCCCCAGAGCCTGCTGTGCACAGAACACCAGGCCCTGGCTGTCAGTCACAGCCCAGCACTCAGACCTTGAGCCCTGGCAGCCCTGAGGTCAGAGTGGGTCTCACGTTCCTGACTTGGGGAATCCCCAGGGGACACACCACGAGTCTGTCACCGGTCACTGATGTCCCTGAAGTGCCCTTCAGTGTGTGCCTGGCCTGGAGCTGTCCCTGCCAGCCTTGGGACAGAGCTCTCCAGCAGAGGAGCTGGAGCCATGTTAGGGAGCAGCTAGGGATACAGGATGGCATCCTGATGGCTGCTGTCACCTAGAGTTTTCTCAGATCAGGAGACAGTGGTCCCAGAGTTGTTGTTACATTCCAGTAAGCCTTCCCTACAATCTTTTGAGTCAGCAGCATATTCCTTCATCTGTGTCTTCAGTGAACAAAAAAGGGCAGTAGAACCTATTTATACATTTAGCTGAGTTCAGCAAGTTGCTCCAGCTGAAGCAGAATTTGGGAGGAGAAGGAGCAAGCCTGAAAAAATGTTGAAATTGTTCTTTTCTTTGATTCAAAAATAACAGCTTTTAAAATATAGGGGAGCCTGGAGAGAGCTGTTTTCTGCAGCAATGGCCACTACCTGGTGCAGTGCCATCACCTTCTCCTGGCTGCTCTGGTGCTTGGCATTTCCTCATCGTGCCTATTCCCTGCACCTTGTTTTGTGGTGAAATCCTGATGTGCTGAAATATCAACCCTGGCCTTGCAGTTGCTTCTCTTAAGTTCTTCTGGGAATTTTCTCATACTGGGTGTTTGTTGTGGAAGCGTTTTTTATGTTCTTTTTATTGATTTTTTGAAAGGGTATCAGGTACCCTCCTGATATTGGGAACTACTGGAGTGTGAAGTAATTTCCCAGAAGGGACAGAAAGCCTTAGTATCTGAGATATTTAAAAGGTGGCTAAATTTAAGACTAGAGGATAACAATTTTGCAAGAAAATGACTGAGTGATTTAAAATTAGTAATTCCTGCTCCTCTGCCATGCATAGCACAGCACAAGAAGGTCTGCAAAATGTTCTGCAAAAAAAAAGAAAAACGGAAGCTACTTTTTTTCTGATGATTGTCAGATGGAAGTTTTAGGTGCAAATACATTAGAATTTAAGAAATACTGCTACCCAAAGCTGCATTTGAAGATGTGAACAGCCCTGTTCAGCCTGTCAAGTATTTGTAATTCTATTAGGACCTAGTATGCTAGATGATAATAGGGAGTCCTATAAAGAGGAAACACTTGGAAAAATGCACCGGGACAGTTGCAGCATTGTTCTTTCAAGCTTTTCTTATTATAGACAGTACATGGATTCCCTCCCTCAAGTCTCCCTGAAGGACTGACCTTGGGGGCAGAACTGCTGCCAGCAATCAATGTCATATAAACAAACAGAAACTTCACACCGAGGAGAACACACAGACACAGAAAATTCAACAATTTTAAGGCATCAAAACCAAACACTGCATTTTCTTGTGTTGTTCCAACCCTGGACAAACTTTAGTTTTCTCTGATTTTTTGTTTGCCCTGGACAAATGCCCTTCACTGTCAGTGTAATTCCTTAAACAATCAGAGGATGCTGGATGAGAGAGCTAAGTGTCCTCTCTGCTTCAGAACAGGCACAGTGAGAGACCTGCTCTGATAAAAACATCAGTGCAGAGCTGGTCTCTCCCTGGCCAGGTGTGGGTTATGGAAACACAGTAAATCAGCTCTGCAGCACAGCTTTGTTCCTGTATTCAGCCTTCCCAGCTACAAAATTGGATCAAAGTGGAGCTGGGCCCAACTCCAAACCTCCCCCAACTTGAGGGGAACTTGGATCCATATCCCAACGCTGAGACTTGGCTCTGCTTCTAAATCAAGCTCTCAATATCTCTTGGGAAAAGGCAGACCCATGAATTGCTCACTAAGTTACTGAAGGGCAGCCAAAGCTGCTTTTTCTGAACACATTTGCTCTGCCTGCCCTGTATTTTTGCAGTAAAGGAGCTGAGGTGAAGCCTGCCTTTAATCCTGGAATGCTGATCTTAGCCTTTGGGTTGAGAAGAACCCATCCATCCTTAATGTGATGTTTTAATTTCAGAATATTTGTTCTCCTCCCTTTTCACCCATTAGGTGAGTGAACTGAGGCAGCAGGAAGGCAGAAGCCATCTCCCAGGGCTGTGGGATCCCTGGCTGCTGCTCAGGGGTCAGGCAGAGCTGGAGCCTTGGCAGGGGAAGCCTTGCACGTTCTCCTGGCATGAGCCAGCAGTGTCTGTGCCAGCCTGGCTGTGCCACCACCGAGGCACAGTGGTGACACAGCTCCGGGGTCACTGGCACCTGCCTGCCAGGGCCGGGCAAGGCTTTGGGGTCAGGCTTCCCCATAAAATATGGGCAGGAAACCACTTGCACAGGGAATGATAAATCAATGTGGAAAGGAGACTGCAATTAAGAAATGAGAGATGGGATGGAGGAGGGGAGCAGGCCCCAGGGATCAATAGAGCTGCTTTGTGTTTAGATTGAGGTCTTCTCTTTCAGGATTGTCTTCTGTGACCCCACATCTCCATCCTCTGCCACCTTATTACTGTATTATTACTTCTTCCAATAATGACAAAATGTCTCACTAAAGCTGCTGCCATCAATAATAGCAGCAGTTTATCAGCAGTGTTTATTAAGTTAAATTCCATACCAACATCTATCTTCCTCTCCCAACACAATTTATACATAATTTAAGATAGTAATGGAGGAGACAGAGAAAAATATATGTCATCTTAGTGAATTTCAGTAGTTCCATTGAATTATTTCAATTTAGGTCCCTTCAAAGAGATTTACATTTTGTATTCCTAAGCTAAGCTTTTCCTGCAGAAGCTGATTTTTGGGGTCTTTGTATTTGTTCTGTCACAGTCTCAGTGTTCACCAGCTTTCCAGATTCGTCAAGCCACCATCCTAAACATTTCACAACCTTTTCCTTTCTCTTTTTTTCCCCATCACTTAGTCTGCTTTTGGAAGCAAATATTAATTATTATGAATCTTGAAATAAAAAAAAAATTCTCAGGAAAGGAGCTACTGGCAGTTTCCAAATAGAGGCTTTGTGAATCCCACTGTGAAGGACTGTGGTGTTTCCCCACTTGCCCTGTACATTGTGAAGAGCTGTGTAATGCACTGAAGTGAGTGCTTGTGACCCTATCCACAGGCAAAACACAGGAATGTGATATTTCTTCCAAAACCATTTTGTTTGCAGTAATAATAAAAGAATTCCTTACTTGATTTCTGTTTGTCCTCCTGCCTTTCGGGCGATTTGAACCAGCTCTTTCCCATATCTCTCTTCTGCTTGTGCTCTGTTAAAAGAAAAACTTACTCAGTTTCTCTTAGTGGTACCTGAATCACATTTACACAAATCTTGCAATTGTATCTGAGGTGCAAAACATCAGAAATGCAACTTTTAAAATTTCTCCATCTCCTCAATCCTAGTGCTGTTAGTTAACATCTGAAATATTTTGGGTCACTTATTTCTGGAAGAAATGAGATGGGAATGAAGCCCATTTCATGGCTTTGATTACTGTGGAATGCTAAGTGCAGCTCTGCCCCCAAAACGTGGATTCATGGGAAGAAGGAGGTGACCAGAGATCAGATGAAGGTGTTCAGAACACAGCAAAAGGAACCTAAAAATGACAACTGACTCCATCCATAAATCACTGGCTGTGAGGGGAGTGAAGGGTAGGTTCCAAAGGATCCATTCAAGAGATGTTGAGGATAAGTGGGAGCCAGGGGCAGCAGGAATATTTCTATCCATTAGAAAGATGAGGCACTGCTGGAAGAGCTGCCATGGAGCTGAGGGCAAGGAGCCCTGGTGGTCGTGTGGTGAGGCTGGGGCAGCTTTGTGGAAGGGACAATTTGTGGCATCTCACCTAATGGGGAACTCTAACTAGTGACTCAGGAAAGTGGTTCTGTTTCTATGGTTAATAAAGAAACACAAATCTTCCTTTGCTGTTTGCCTTTCCCCCAGCACTGCAGGAAACTTCTATTCTCTTTTTAAAAAGTATTTGTACTAAATGTGTTACTTCCTTTCTCCTGCAAGACCAGGGTGGAAACAAGTTGTCAGCCTCTGAGTAGTTGCTAAAAACTATTGAATGATCAATAATAAATAATGAACAGATAGCCTGGTGCTACTCCCACTAGGGTAAGTCCAGTTCTCAAAAGCAGTTTTTCAAAGCATTTCAAACCGTTTTGGTTTGAAATTTGGCATGTTAGAAAAATGTACTCTTTGTTCAAGAAACGAATTTGATGTGGGTGCAAGGCCCTACAACTCTGCTGGGTTTTAGTCCAGTCAGTGTTCCCACTTGGCCAGGAGGTGCTTTGTATGTCTTAGCTGAGTTCCAGCAGTCTGAGGGCTGCTCTTGCAGTTTTGCCCCAGGGCAGCTGTTGGGGTGGGTCCCTGACAATCTCCCACCCCCCTTCCCACTGCCCCTGGGCCCGGGGAGCCCCTGGCCCTGTAGCCAAGGTGCTGTGGTGCAAATCCCCCAATCTCCTGGGACCTGGGGCAGGCTCATCCCGGGACTCTGCCCAGCCCAAGCAGATCAGTCAGGCTGCTGGAGCAGCAGTGCTGGCCCTGCAGCAGGAGCAGAGAGTGTTCCTGGCCCTGTCCATGGCTGCCATGTGTGGAATGCTGTTTGTGCTGCCCTCCTGCACTCAGAACTGCTGTGTTTTAGTGGGGTGTTCCTACAGCACTGCTCTGGCATTCTTGCTAGAGAAACAGGGCAAAATATGGTGACAGGCCATGCAAAGACATCACTTCTTTTTCATGTTAGATAAATTAGATTTCATCAAAATGCAAATACACTCCAGACACATAATGCTGCAGAAGAAGAATAGATTAATTTTCTTCTGATTTCAGTATCCAGAAACCCTTCTGTGTCAGAGGCTTTGCTTAGAGGCAGTGCCTGTGCAGCAGTGAGGATGACTCCAGTGCTGCAGTTCCACTTTGGTTGCTCAATACACAAGCATATAATGGGAAAAACCATGGCCAGCTTTTAATCCAGTCTCAGCTCCTGAAACCTCAGCATGGATGGGACTGGACTAGCCCAGGGTCAGAGGGATTTGACAGGAGGCTGATACCATCTCTTCACATCTGTGTGCTGCTTTTCCCCTTTCCAGTACTCTGCATACGGCTTCTAAGTTTCCCTGCAGCCATCTAGAGATGGAACATGTTTTGTGTTTTAACCCTGGGCTTTGTTCTGGAGTACAATTGCTTTCTCACTCCCAAACCTCTTAGGCCCTTCTCTGGGCCAGTTAGGGGGATTTGTGGTTGGAAAACTGATGGAGTGTTAGTGTGGCCAGGGCCAGGGCAGCTGGTTTCAGGACTGCAGGAGTCCTTGTTGAAATTCCAGTGTCAACCACGTGGTATGGGCAGCCTCTAGGAAGAGAGATTCATCCCATCCTTTGATCTTCTGCTGGGTCATTCCTGTGAATGATGTGAGGGCGAGCTGAAGCGACCATCTGCCAGCAATAAACTGGAAATCACATCTTTGACTCAGTGCCCACTTCTCATCTCCTTTTTGTCCCCCCCAACAGGCACGTACACACACAGGCACACACACTTACACACTGCAATGTCCTGGGGGTGTAAAAACCTCATGGAAACATTTGCAAAATGACTGTACATGTATTTTTTCTTCTTTATGGAAAGAACTTTGTGTCTCCACCACAAACCAGGAAAAACCTCATCCTGCAACTTTCAGAAGGCTCTGCAATGTTTTGGAAGGAACACAGGCGTGTGCAGCATCCGATGCAGAATTGCACTGCCCGAGGCCTGCAGTGCAGCTCTGATCTCTGTGAGTTCTGAGGCACAAAGGAGATATTTTAAACAGTGGCAGCTAAGCTGCCATCAGGCAGATGTGACTTCAGGACTGTGTGATGTGTGCCAATATAACAGGCTTCCACTGGTGGTCGAGAAAAGCAACTTAAATAGCTGCAGGTTTTGATGGGAGATGTCACATGCTGTGAAACAGCCACCTTAGAGTCTGACAGCTCACACCCCCTTCAAAATCTCGGGGCTTTAAAATCAGCCTTCAGAAAACCACCCTAAACCTAAAAAAACTAGATGGGGACAGTATGGGAAGAAAAAGCAGGAAAGCAGAGCAGTATTCATAAGGTGACAGTGCTGAGATGGGGTGCTCTGGGATTGCCTGCTGGATATATAATCCATATTTGTGTGGTCTTTTCTACATGTCAAGCCTGAGCAAGCGTGTGCTTCATGTTACATGCTGAAACTGCTGAAGCCCCTTCAAAACAGAACCGAATTTCAGAGCTGTTTTTCGAAGTCACAACTACAAAAATGAATAGCTAAGGAGCCAGAGCAGCAGTGTGATACATATTTTCTCACCCACAAAATTGTCAGCTGTCCATAGTTGCTGTTGAGAAGCACCAAGAAGCACATAATCAGGAACATAAACTACAACATCGTTACTCAAAGCCTGCTAAGGTTGGTGAAAAACAGGAGCTGGTTTGGGCATCTGGGTAAGGCTTTAGGTAGCATTTTATGTAGCTTTGTATTTGAAAAATGTCTCATTTTTGGTACTGGCAGGAAGCTGAAACAGTGCCTGTGGCAACAGCGTGTTCAAAGAGAAACAAAAATGTGCAAGTCATTTTTGCCCTGCAAAAGGGGAAACTTAGAAATGCTACCTGTGTATGTAGGTACTACTGTGTGATTCTGGTCCCATAATGAGGTATTTTAGTGGAACTCTGGGTTTCTGACTCTTTCAGCCTTCTCTTCCTTTCTCAAGTCTTTGAGATTTCTATTTATCTACCTTCATATCACAAGGCTGGGATTCAAATCACTCAGGCTTTTCTTTGTAAGCTCATAACATACCAAACTGAGAAACAGCTTGCTAGTCCCTTCCAGACACCAAATGAGACAAAAAAGGAGGCTGTTCACACTTTTTCACTCTGATTTTCATACCTCTGCTTGAGCAAATCCTCCACATCTTTGCACATCTTCTTCCCCTCCAGCAGCCGCTGTACGAGCACCTCGTAGCCGGTGTGGAAGGTGAACTCCTTGCACTGAAGACAGAAAGAAAAAGTAATAGTTGTTAAGAACATCAGTTCCTCTTACCTTAATTCTAATTCTTATTTCTTAATTCCTCTTAGCATATTTCTAAAAAGAAAGGTCAGAGTCAGCTCAGTACAAATATCATCAGCCTGTGGGGCAGTGACTGTGCCACCTGGTCAGTGGTGGTGGTTTCATGGGAGGGTTCATAGCACAGGGACACAGGATTTGTGTGTTCTGCTCCTGGTCCTCCCACTGCCTCACAACAGGATCAGGAGAAGCCATTTTCCCATGGAGAGCCTGAGTTAACCAGTACATAGTGATAACATTATTGAAAATGTAGTGGTGAATGTTTTCTGAGCTTTATGTTACAGCATTATGGTAAAATCACGGGCTGTGAAACCGTAAAGAGAATGAGTGTGTTCCTTCCCTCGAGCACTTTATCTACAATACAAGCCCTTATATATGAACTGAATGCAGTTTATACATCCCTCCACTGTCCCCTAAGCAGTTACCATTTAATAAATGGGTTACTTTATTGCTTTCCACCACCACTGTGAAGAAGACAGCTGTTTGAGTTTTGCTACTTGGAAAAGATCCTCTGGCAAGAAACTGCTGGGCACTTGAGCTTGTGCCTTTGCTTCCTTGTCACTGGGACTTGATGCTGGAGCAGGGGAGCTCTGGGGATGAATGGTGGTGGTTGATGGCAGCCTCGGTGCTGCTCACACAAGCCTTGGGACTTCTGTGGAGATTTGCAGATTTCGGAACAGGTTTTTTTGGTTCTTCAAGAGTTAGGATAAATTTCTGCAGACAAACCCTGTAAACCTACAGGCTGTAGTAACATTTCCAGTGCTACAGTTCATTGTAAAAGCCGTCACCCCTGAAGAAACAGGATCTCAAGCCCAAAACATTCATTTTCCTAATGTTTCCAAGGGCAATTTACACACACATCACAGGGAGGGATCCTGCTGTGAAATAAATGAGAAGCAGCAAGTTTTGCCATTCAGAGAGAAAAGTAGGAAAGGTTCTTGATAATACCCTGGCAATGGACTTAGCACTTCCCCCCCTCTCCTTTTTTTGAGGACATTCCAATGGCAGAAGGCATCACTGCTGTAAAAAAATCACTATAAATGGCTCCCTCTGCCTGGCAGAAACTCTTGTCAGATGCTCCACAACCAACTCACACCCTCAGCATTTTAACTGTATATTTTCAGATGCAATCAGTTATATCCCATAGTTTTCTTGTCCCAGAAATGCTGCCCATGAGGCAAGTGAAAATATCCTGTGGTTGAAAATGCTGTCCATAAGGTAAATGAAAAAAATATATCTGTTGGTATCACCCCAGCAGTCAGCCACTGCCACAGACAACAAAGGCACAGTGATAAGCTCAGTGTGGAGTTAGTCTGCCTTTCTGTTCAACATCTCCCTTTGTTCAGTAATTACTAAAGCTCACTTGGTGTCTTTCCCCACCTCTTTTAAACTGGCATAGTTGTTACCCTGAAAGGATGACAAATTCTTTATGTCCAAGAGAACGCTTATTAAATTCCCTAAACAGAGAATGCAACCCCAACCTGTTAACCCAAAAGCACACACAAACAGCAGTGTGCTGGGCCAGCCTGATGGGCTGAGTCCATGGGGCAGTGTCACCAGGCCCCTGCAAGCCTCACTGCCTGCCAGGTTCCTCTAGGGGTTGTTCCTCCGGGGTTTGTTCCTCTGGCTGGCCTTTCTAGAGAGATTTGGCTCCTAAGATGGACTCCTACCACAAACACTCATTTAACCTATCTTCATTTTGGGGAGCATTCATCTCAAAGTTTGCTTTCTTGTCCTCCTCTGTGCTCCTGGAGGATGTGGAGGCCCTGTTTCAGAAATGGCAGGGTCAGAAATCCAAACCAGGGCTCGCAGGCAGCAGCTCTGGCTGTGCTCTGAACAGCTCGTGCCGCCTGCCCAGGCTGCAGAGGGAGGGAGAGGAAACACCACAGCCAGGCTGGGACAAGTGTGAGCTGCTCTGGTCACTCATCCTGCAGCACTGCTTCTTAATTTCCAACCACAAGAGAGCCATGAATCACTCAGGCCTCAGCTTACTTGCACAAAAGTTTCCCTTTCATTTCAACAGCTCTATTTCTTCTTCCACATGTACAACTGCATCCCCTCTGAACCTCTCCTTGCATCCAAACAAACCTCCTTTGCCCTTTCCTGACATTCTGCTTTTTCATCCCATTGATTCCCATGTGTTGTTATAGCACCTGTTCAAGGCTGAATAAATCCCTGTTGGACAAGGATGATGCTTTACAACTCCAGCAAAGACTTAGTGATGCTTTGTACCATGGCATAAATGTCAGCTCTCTAAGGAACACTTGTGGTCCATCAGAGGATTGTATTGGTCTTCTTCCACTATCAAATCATAGCAGTGGCACTTAAATGAGCCATGATCTACACACATACCTGCAATTCTCTCCTTTCCTGCTATTTTATTCAACGACGTCCCAGAGTATATTGGATTTTTTTACTACTGATCTCTTACTCCCATTTTGTACTTTGAAACTTTGATTTTTATCTGTTTTCTGTTATCCCAGACTTGAAGGTTATCAGATACCTCCTGTACAATATTTCATTCTACCTGTTTCTTTCAAGCACAGCTATTTCCAGCCCATTCTTCATGTTCTTATGGCAGGATCCAGCACCTCCCCCAGATCAGTGTCTTTGCCCACTTCAGAGTTCTTCCCCTGCTTTGTCTGTTCAGTCCTGTTTTGTTTTTATCTAGTGTCTTAAGGATTTCCTGTGTAGCACAGAACTGACCCCACATTTTCTTTGTCAAGACAATCAGACAGCAAGATTGGATCTCATTAAACAACCGTCTAGCCTTGCTAAGCTGGCTCGCCTCTATTCTATTTTCCATTTACCATTTTGTGTTATAATTAGCACCCACATTGAGTGGTTTTGCAAAAGCTGTTAAGCTGCACTACTCAGACAGTGCTTGGTACTTCTCAGAAAGGATTTTGTGATGATTCTAAGAACTAATGAATAGTCAAAGAACTATTTATTTTTTTTTTAGAAATTAGAAAAAAAGCTTTAATTAGATAATAAATATAGTCATTAAATGTGTAAAACATCATTTGCTTATACTAAAATCTGGTTGCTTGGAAGAGAGCAATTTGACTCACCACCAGTAATTTCTCTCATTGCCAAGACAGAGATTCTGCTTAGTCAAAGCGTGTGTGGCTGTGAAAGAGGATTTGATCCTGTTACTAAAAAAGATTAGTTATTTCTTGTTGTCCAACAGGCCTATAATCACCAACAAGAAAGTGCTTGACAGGGATTTCAGTGCTGTGAGCAGAGTTGTGTTGCCCTGAAATTCACCCCCTAGCTCTGCATGTGTGCTTTGCTCTCTGCCTGGGGATTTTCTTCTTGTTTTCTTCTTGAAAATCTCAGGTAAAGGAGGGGCAGCTTTTCCTCTCCCCTGCCCAGTGACAAAAGTTGCTTCCCTCCAGGGCAATGAGCAGCACTGTTCCTTCAGAGACAAAAGGAACGTGGAGGGGACTATATGGCTGAAACCCACAACTTCTGTGCTCTAGTTTAAGCAGAACAGCTTTTCCTAGAACACTTGAAAGGAGGCATGGAAGCCTGCAAGCAGAGGTGATGACAGTGAGCACGCTGGGATATCCATTCTTTCCATTTCTTTTTCCCTCTGAGGATTACCAGTGCTGCTCCCTCCCATCAGCACTTTCCTGTGAGATCTGTGCCTTGGGACTGTCCCTCCTGGTACAGGTTTCTCCATGGGTAACCACGCAGGCAAATGTCAGGAGCTAATTGTGGGAGAGATTATTCAGGGCTGGCTCTGAGCTGGTTCCTGCAGCCATCAGGGAGAGGATCCCAGGATTTTGCTTTGGTAATGAAGGCTGCAAGGGAAGACTGGGAGTGTCAGTTGCCTGCCCAGAGGGTAGAAAGTACCAGGATTTCTGGGGGGGTGGCATAATTTCTTCTTACCTTCTCGTGGCACCAAGCTGAGTAACCTTGTGTCTTTAACAACTCACTGAGAATCAGCCTTATTCCAAAGCATATTCCTGGTGCTGCTGGCTGCCCAGAGGGAATTGTGAGGATCTTTGAAGTGACAAGGCTACTATTGCAATGATATCAAGGAGGAAAGACTAAAATGCTGTGCTCATTCCTGAAGCAGCTTTCAGTAAATAGCTTTTCCAATGGACCGGACTGAAGCAAAACCATCCAAACTCCTGTACAAAGCACTCACTCCATGGTGCACCCTGCACGTGATGGTCACAGTGACGTGAGCTCACAGGTCATTGTGGCTGTGCCCTGGCAGCTCTGGCCTTTTCTGCTGTGCCTGCTTTCCTTGGAGCATTTCTAACCATGCTGGCACCTGCCTTGCCCATCCAAGACTTTGTTTAGGGGCAGTTTACATAGCACAGCTCAGACCTCTCCCTGCTCCTGCAGGATGAGCTGGCTTGGCAGCACCTGAGCTTCTCCCCCAGGGCAGCCTCTGCTGCTGAAGCCGTGTGTCCTGTCTGGGGAGTGCCAGAGCTGCAGCTGGGCTGACTGCAGGGCTCTGGGGCTGCAGGGCTCTGGGGCTGCAGGGCTCTGGGGCTGCAGGGCTCTGGGGTTGCAGGGCTCTGGGGCTGCAGGGCTCTGGGGCTGCTGCTGTGCCTCTCAGCAGGACAGGCTCATCCCAGCATCTCCAGCTGCAGCCCTGCTCACCCACTTTCTGTAAGGAACCGTGTCCAGCTGGGAACAGGGACAGTAACCCCAGGTACAGGTACAGGTACAGTGTACAGGGGTACACTGTCCAGCAGGGCAGTGGCACCACCCTGATGGGGAGCAAGGGCTGAAAAAGGAAAATCTCCACAGCAGACACTGGGTGCATTGCTCAGTACCCAGCAGGACAGTGCTGAGCTGTTGTGATAAACACAGCACCAAAATCCACACATGGTACCTGCTCTGCACCTCTCAGGGGGTCTGGCTGCCACGAGCACTGCTAGCCACAGCAGAGCTCCTAGGGCTT